ATTGGGACAATTTCTTTACAACTGACAGTTATTGAGTTAAAATTTAGCATCAATACTGGAAATAAAAAGCGCGGTCAAATAATGCATCATAATCAATGAAGCAAAATTCATTAAAATAGTGTCTAAACAATATGCATAAAAGTTAAAGATAACTTTAGGAGAATAATAGCAACTTGGCCATGTTTGAAGTAGTATCTATATCATCGTATCCCTGTTAGATTCGCCATATCAGTTGCCATGTGTCCATTCTGAAATGTTATCCACCAAAAGGACTGAAATAATTTCTCCAGCTTCTCAGATTGCACCATCATTGTCATTAGCCATGCTTATTAAGATTTTTAACGTTAATGCCTACTTAGTAAAGAAATAATACCTATGATACTTATAGAGATATGTGTATTATAACACCCGTGTTTTAGGAGGATATCACCATATGAATAAAGAAATTTACAATTGTTTGACTCATTTATACAGTTAATTTCCTCTTAAGGCCTTTAATAGTCATTTCAAACATTAGTTATTTTCCATTATAACTTCCATTTGTATTATTCTATTTTACTATTTACCGATTTGATTATTAATAAGTTAAAGTTAAATTATGATATTAAATCCTTTTTTTGATTTTTTCTTCTCTATGTCATTGCATATCTTCTCCCTGAATCAGTAAATGCTGGTCTCGCAACTGGTCTTTTTATTCGCTTGGTTAATGGGTACTTGGAAGTAGAGGCTGCTATTCGTAGTAGCCCCCCTATTTTACCTGTTCCTATTACTTGCAAATCCCTGCCCAAGGTCATCCATCCCTCATCGCATGAATTGAAGCTCAAGCGATGCACTCATCCAATTGCATCTGGATCTATGGTTACTAACGTATCTGTCAATACTTCAAATGCTCCATTCTCCATCTCCAAAGGATTTACATGCATCTGCGAGACCAAGTGGCTAGCTTCTGACCACAGGCATGAAGAGCCTTTGTCCAGGACTAACTTTCATTGGAGTTCAGGGTTGCAGAACCCCAATTTGCTATTTGTGAATTATCATCCCTCAACTGGTCTCAAATTTTTGAATTCCTCTTTAGAAAATCAGCAGACTCTGCGACTGTCCTGGAAAAAGGACAATGTCAAACTTTTGCCAAATGGTCTAAGAACTAAAAATTCTTGGTTGCTCTACCATATAACCGCTGGAAACGGGCGAACTGGATCGATGAATGATGGAAGAAGCCGTCGTATTAGAGTACTGAAATATCACCGACAGGTAAGAGAAGAAAATTTTTAATTAATCCAAGTATACATGTATGCATGAAAGAATTTTAATAAACGAGTCTGCATCCTCACGTGCTCTATATTATGAAGCTTAAAATCATACACAAAAACAAAGTTTACTTGTTTTTGAACAAGATATTGTGAGAACTTTCTTAGGTTTAATGAGATAAAGTCAAACTTTTCAAACTTTAGTAAACTTCTCAGTTATTTCATCGTAAATTTTATCCTATAATACGCTTTGATTTGGAAGATATTAAGAAAAATGGGTTTCGAAGGAATCTTTAGAAATATATTGTGACATGAATTTTTATTTCGGAGGAAAATTTGGTTGGAAGGAATTCGCGAAATGATCTCATCGTAGTGCAGACTGTTGGATTTAGCGAGCAAGTACTCGGCTAACCATTCTGTGCTGAGCTTGCAGCTAGAGTGCAAGTATGCATACTTATAAATGAAAAAGACATTTTCTCTTGGCTTTATATATTTTTGCGCTATTTCACAAAGTATGGATTCTAGTTCTAATAAGGTATTTCGTAGTACAGAAAAAAGGTTAGTAAAGATTAATAGGGGTCACAAGGCGGTGAGCCGAGAACTTATTTGCAGAATCGAACAGGCTTTACTCAACGGAAATCAAATTTCAGTTTCCAATTCGACCCTTTTACGAATTTCTTCAAACAAATTTTTTATTCGAAATGAAAAGTCCTGTCACGCTCTTATTAAAATTGATTCGCTGGTCATATTCCACATATTAAAAAAATAAAGATGCTAGTTGAGACACGAAAAGTGACATCTTTGCCGCTCTGAATTTCTGGCCAACGAATTATATAAATATATCCTAAAGGCGCAAGGATGCTTAAAGTTAGATAGCAAAATCAGGCTTTGCGCCATTCGAACTTAAATAATAAGTAATAAGCAAAGGGTTTTATTGATCATAAAGTTATAAAGGGAAGGCGAATATGATTTTTACTTTAACAATTTTATAGTAACCTATTCGGTGATTATTTTTATATAACAGGCTAATGATTAATGGAAAACAAAACTTACTCAATGGCTCTCTATGAAAAGCAAAGTCACTCTTACTAAACTTTGCTTTTAGTCATTAATTGTTATTTTTGTTTAGGGTGATTAAATTTTAGTTTTTGGCTATTACTTTATGTATTTAGTCATTTTAATCTAAAATTATTTTACAAGCTAGTCATAATTTAATGATAAAGGGTCTCCCTTACATAACCTATCCCATTTTTAACATTTTCTTAGAGTTTATGCCCACCAGCCCGTGTTTTTTAGAAATGCAACTAAGCCTATCATATTACAAATGACAAGGATTCTTAACTCACCTTAGCTTTTGAATATTTAACTCATACATATATTTATGAGCTAATGAATGCTATATACGATATTTGTTATTTTACTCTCCCTAGATATTTCTTAAAATTGGTCAACATTGTCAAGCAACTTGATGTTAATTGCTCTGGGGGCATCAATCTATTGTCTTTTGTACTTTACTTACTATTATTTAAGCCCATAAAGACATAATTGTAAGAAAAATTGATTTAAATATTAGATTTAGTTGCATTCTAGACACAAAATAACATTTCTTTCATATTTAATTGCACCCTCAATCTAACTTACTTATCATCAATTGATTCACGGGAACTGGAATCTGAGGTTTAAGAAGAAGAGCAGTTTACACTTCTACCCAAAACTGATATTGAGCAGCAAAAATAAGTAGGATCAGACTTTGAAAGTTAGATATATTTTATGTGGAATTTCTGTCGATAAAAGTATCTGTGTCTGTTTTTGACCCAGGTTTCTATGGGATATTTCACTAGCAGCTACTTGATAGCAAATAACATAGATAAGATTATTGTTAAAGTAATAATTTTTTAGCATGCTTCAACATTTTATCTTTTAGATTATTTAAATAGTTTTAGTCTTATTTCTCCTTCGGCACTGCTTAACTTCGATCCAGGAATGTTGTAATCTAGCAACTAAGAAAAAATGATGTATATTTTGGACACCTATGAATGTTTGATCATATTATTTTGTAATTTTTCAAAGCAGCCTACAAAAAGGGACCAAAGTTTTATTTAATAGTATGAATTTCGTATATATTTAGGGTATAATTGAGGATAATGCGGAAATACAATCCTAAGGATAGATTTCGAAAATATATGAAAATTTTCGATAGGTCAGTTTCAGGCTAGTAATTTGGATAATTTTATAATTAGGAAGACATAAGCCTTTCCGTAAAAGATATTATTACTTGCTATTTGCATGCATGTTCTTACTGTTTGAAGAATATAGCTTTCAAAACATGATTAAAAAAGACTATAGGCACTAGCTAATCAAGTCTTACCCATTGCTTATAAAATCGAAACAAGTAGGGGACAAGATCTGATGATAAGTATACTATTAATGAGAAAATTTAGGCTCCTCCACGAAAGGTGAAGTAGGAATGACAATCAGACAAGGTATGCCATATTAACATTCCTCAGGTGCAACTTAGATTAATTGAAAGGATAGAGTTATTTTCAGGTGAAACTTACCCACGCATCTATTCGAAAAGGCTGTTCTTGTCTAGAGATAAATATACTTTATGGTTCCTATATTCAAGCCCAGTCAGCCAGAAGTGAAATTGGGTCTCTACTAGAAACTGAATAGCGATGCCTAATACAAAAACAAAGTGGTAGCAAACCTTCATTTTAAAGCCTATCTTTGAGATCAATAGTTACTACGATTTAACTATGTATAAGTTATCAGCCACTTTTGATATATATGACAGAATCTCAAAATAAGACAAACTGAGCCTTGGTCGCGTCATTTTTCCTTATGTTCCACATTCCATACAATCATTTCAAGGCCTACTGAATACAAATAAATTTTGTAGTATCTTTTGTATTTATTTGATATTATAACTTTGCCCCATTTTTAATATTTACAATTTTTAATTGGTTTAAATAATTGAGCTTCTGCATTCAACTCTCATGTCATAAATTTGAGGAAATAAATCTATGGGAATAGTAGACTCAAATATCTTGAAAATACTTAAGAAGTACACAGGAGCTAGTTTCCTTGCCAATAAGATGATAAGTGACAAAATATATAAATACAACAGAAATACGAGGAAATTTCAATCTTAAGTCTTACTGACTTTTTCAGCGATTTAATAGTTCCTTGTTTGCTGAAAGCTTTCTGAGTATAGTTGCATATTTGCATATTTGCGTCTTTAGTACAATTAATCCATAATAGCCTGCTTAGGTCCTAACTAGCATCCCTTATGATACACATATATTTAAGCGCACTTCCTTTTAGTCCAGTGGATGTTATCTCAATTGTGTTGTCTGCCCATATATTTAACGATTTGTATTACAATGAACACCCTAAGGAAATGCTTAGAATACAATTTGCAATGCAGAAATGGATAGCTAGATAAAGGTGAGCATTTTTTGTTTCAGTGCTTTAGACACTTGATAAAAAATAAAATACAATATAATTGCGCTTTAGAAAGTAAATATGCCAGCTACTCCAAATGTGAATAATCATCTAGAGTAAAAGCTTCGCCCACAATATGAAGGGAATTATCAAATTCCTATGATATTAAATTGTAATAGTGCACTTTTTCTAAAAGACGAAGAGTAAAACAATATTAATTTATAGTAATAACGTACATTTGCTTAGCAAAGACATATTTATATATTTTTTTATTTTCAAGATAGGTTTTTGAGACTAACAGTAGATAATATATCTGTATATATATATATATACAT